TACTATGTACTACGTACAATCTACTGTGTACTATGTACTATGTACTATGTACTATGGGGCATAACTCTCAAACAGAGACAATTGGGATATTCAGTCGATATGGGCATGAGCGCAAACAATCAGAGGTTGCACGACCACTGTGCCAGTTACCAAGTTCTGTAATTTTTGCATCGATACGTCGGATTTCATATCTGGGCTGTGTACGGCTGCTTGGCAGCTGGAACGACGACCGGCATTTGTCGTTACTCCTTGTCATGAACGCACATCATGAATGCTCATGAATGCACAACGACTGTTGCAAAGCCCGCTGATTACACTACACCCCCCCCCTTCAAAAAAAAAGAGGTTTGAGACGTCGCGAATGCCGTTTCGACAGCAGCAATGTTATACCACAAACTTTCTGCACCGCACGTTCACAGGGCGGGGCACGGGGTTGATGATGATCAACACTTCTGGAAGCAGTGGAAGAGTTGGAAGTCACCTCTTCTGCCTGGGGCGATGTGTGGACTGAAAAGAATCGACATCGGACTGGGGAGAGTATTGAATCTGAAATCAGACTCGCTTTCTTTTTCACTTCGCATGCATACAAACAGATGACATTCCACACTGGCGCTGGGCGCCCGCACAAAGCTCAGAGATAATCAAGCCGAGAAGACAGTTCAGATACAAACTCGCTTCCAACCAGCTATGGATGGCGCTTGAGCACCACACATCCTCTGTCCAACGCTCTGTTCACCCAACAGTTCACACGCACTCGACTCTGGATCTCCCTGGATATCCCACGCACATACACTCCGTAACACACACCCACACCCACACACTCTGACTAACACCTATCGCTAGCTATAACAGCTATGGCTACGCTGACTCCACCTCACCCCACCTCGACTCCAGGCCTCTGCAGACCACCTCGCACAGGACGCTAGGGCAGTTCTTCCACATGGCTCGCGCAGGAATGAATGAATGGCTGGACGCTGCCTCTTGATTTATACTTCTGTAAGTCGCTGGTCTGCCCTTTTCCACCCGGCCCATGGTGCACACAGTCCCTCATGGTACTTGCTGACTGTACAAAGTGCGACTGGGACACACGTGGTTAACCAGGGGTGTTATTTTCGACGAATTTTGCACCGAATTGCACTGAAACTGTCATATTGTGCTGATTTTTTGCTTTTTTTCTTGTTTTTCTTTTCGTGTGATATATATGTGCTTTAGGGTACGTCATGTGTGCAGTTTTGACATGTTCGGATCAATAATGAAAAAGTTGGCATTTTGTTGGATTCGTTGGACGCTTCATTTTGACTCGGACAGTGTTTTTGTGTTAGGGTTTCATCGTGTTTTTTTGTTTTTTTTTTTCATTTTTTTTTGCCTGTTTCCTTTTTTGATGTTTGCACTATGGTCTCATATCGTTTGTTTTGGGCCCCCGTTAACCGTCTCTCGACTGGGACTGGGTACCACTGACTAAGCGATGTTGGACTCACCACTTGCCCACTTGCCTCTGCTCTGCTGTGGGTAATGTGAGAAAAACTCGGAAGGCCACTTCCGGACCTTCCGGAAGTCTGTGGACTTCGCCTTTCGGGACTGTAGCAGCTGCCACCTTGACCTTTCAGAAGAATCAGAACTGTATCAGCTACGACCTTGACCTTTCAGAATTGCTACAGCTACGGCCTCTACACAACTATGACCCCTACTCAACAGATCTACAGATCGAACCCCTACAGCTACACAGACCTACGATAGACTACAATCAACTACCAAAACACAGATCACAGGTTCAAAACACACAGGAGTCGACTTTGATACAGGGGGAGGGTAAGGTCTAGGGATCGAGCCCTGGGATCTGCATCTGTTAATGCAAAGGTGAAAACTGTTTCACATCTATTGATGGACCTCGCCAAGCTTGAGCGTTATCTCGACTCTATGTAACTCGAAGGGCAACAGTACTGATAGTAACTTCGTAATTGTTTTTTATTTTATTTTTTTAATTTGGACCATTTCTCGATTTATGCGTGTCATCCTTGCACAGGGGCCATGCTAATCTTCTCTGTATCGTTCCAATTTTAACGGATGTCCCGAAGGACTAGTAATTTCGTAATTCATTTCCCTATCTCGCTTATCTTCTTTTTTTTTTTTTTTTAATAATCCGCCCGTTTCCTCGGTGATCTTGACTATCTGATAGGATAAGTAGAACGCGAGATTCGAGTTCATACTAACTTCAGGGTGCTTAAAAAAAAAAAAAAAAAAATGTTTTAAGGTGCTTCAGAGGTTTAGCAGGGTAGGACTGGGTACTTCATTTAAATAGTGTCCCACTGCCCGCAAGCAGTCCCCAGTTTACTATGATAATTTTTTATTTTTATATCCACTTATGCTTGCCGGTGATAAGCAACCGGACTGGTGGCCTCCCAGAATACAAAAAGGGGGTTGCGTTGCTTGTTATTAAAAAAAAAAAAAAAAAAAAAAAAAAAAAAAAAAAAAAAAAAAAAAAGGAAGACAGAGAAACCAGTCCCAAGGGCCCAGTACAAGATGAGGTGTAAACACCTTCTGCACTTCCTCTACAAGTTATCATCATTAAACTGACCGGCCCTAGGTAATTAGAATTGTAGTATTTAAACCTAGGGTACCAGCCAGGCTGCCCGGGTCACCCTATTTTCCCGGGCGGCCCGGCCGTGCAAGGACCAGAAAGGTCCTAGCAAAAAAGAAAAAAGAAAAAAAAAAAAAGAACAAAAAAGTGTGTTATGCAGAAACATAAACTGAACTAGTTTTGTCTCAGGGTCACATCGAAATTCTTCACCAACTTCAAAATTAAAAAGTTTTATTTACCAACTTTAAATTTTAAAATTACAAAGTTTTCTTTACCAACTTTAAAATAAAAAACTTAATAAAAAACTATGTTACCAGTTGTCTGATGGGAGGACGTCCTGGTCGGATAGTCAGGGGGGTCCCGGACGTCCGACCCGGTAACCTTGATTAAAAAACAATTTAATAATTTTTTAATTTTTTACTTTTTTTTGGGGCCTGGCCGGGGCAAGTGGTCCGGGCAACTCTGGTAGCCTAGATAATTTTAAACTGTATTTTACTCATCGGCATCCGGCAGAGTTTGAACTCAGGTCTGTATTTCAACAGTTCAGTGGAATCTTACGGTGACATTGGGCCTCGCTCCATTACTCTCGAAATGTGCCAAACGAGAGTGAATCTTCCGCTAGAACATGGAAAGATATCCCGCCATGATTTTTGTCTTTTGTGCGTGTGGAGAGTAGTGGAGCGACGCCCATTGATTGTTGCATGTTATTTTTTTGCCGAACGATGAGATACAACTGGCAGCTTTGTTTCGACTATATACGCTTCTATGCATTTTGAGTGGTGGCTGTGACTGCAGTGCGGTTCCTCGATTTGCTCTCCGTGTACCAACGTGCTCAAAGTTCAAACAATAAAATGGAAACATCCAGCTTTTTTTTTTTCCGACTTTTTTTGGACTGGCAGAAAAAGTCTGCAAAAAAAAAAGGTCGGCAATGCGGCTTCAATGACAGCGGGTGTACACTGGTTTAGACAGAGCACTGGGCTTTGAGTGAGAGGTACCAAAAAAAAAAAAAAAAAAAAAAAAAAAAAAAAAAAAAAAAGAGGTGCAGTTATGTTCCAAATTGGCGGTTGATGAAACAGGGGAACAATCGTGCGGAAGACATTAAATTAAAATTCTGAATAGCTGGCAGCAAAACCACTATTGCAATGATTAAATATGGCAGCTGTTTCTTCGCCGAGTCTGCGAGTGCATCCAAGTGATGATGCAAGTGCATTCGTTTCATTCTCTATTCCTTGTGGCGACAGTGGGCCTCACTCCACTACACAACACTCTACATGCATTTGGACGCCCCTCTCGTCCCAATACATTCAAAATGTTGGACTCCTCAAAATGCACATGGCCCAAAAAAAGTCCAAATGCATGTAGAGTATTGTGTTGTGGAGCGCGGCCTTTTCTTAGAAACGACATTTGATTTTCCCTCGTAGCCGGAACTCTGTGAGCCCCGTCGCTGTCGATTTGCTTTGTTCGGACCCAAAAAAAAAAAAAAAAAAAAAAAAAAATTCAGCCAAAAAATCTGAAAAAAAGATATGTTATGAAGAAAAATAAAATAAACGAGATTTGCCTGAGCATTACATACGAATTCCTTACCAAATTTGAAATAAAAATCAAATACGAGAAAAAAATACTAATAATAAAAGTAAATAAAACATGGCTACGATCCGGACGTCCGGACCGCCATCCAGATGGTCCGGATTCAGTCCGGACTCCAGACGTCTGGTCTGGAAGGTCCGGATCTGCCAAATTTCGAGGAAAAAAAAAAAAAAAAAAAAGGTCCAGGACCCTTCCCCATTGAGGAGCCAAGCGCCCAAAATTGCTTTGGGGGTTTTTCAGGCCCATTTATGATTTTTTGGGAGGTCCGGACATGCTCTCTCTCTATAATAATTTATTAGACAATCCCCAATTTCTTAATTATTAATAATTCATTACCTTTTGTTAGTTTTTTAAAGTCTTTTAAACTCTTTTTTTAAGTTTTTTATAGTTTTTGACTTTTACCTCAAGTTTGGTTAGGAATTCTGACATGACTCTGAGGCAAAAAAGGTTTGCATTGTTATTCTGCATAACATAATTGTTTTTCAGATTTTTTTATTTTTATTTTTTTTAATGGTTCGGACATTTTCCGGACTTGTCCAGACATCCGGACCGTCCGGATCCCGTCATGTCCGGTGTCTGGAAGATGTCCGGAATTCCGGACGTCTGGAAACTACCGGACACGGGTCCGGTTCCATGTCCGGAAATGTCCGGGTCCGGGTCCGGGTCCGGGTCCGGGTCCGGGTCCGGGTCCGGCGTAGCCATGAAATAAAAATAAAAAGAGAATTAAATTTAGTGAGTGCGCGAGCATGTTTTCGACACCGCCATCTTTGGCGATTTTTCATATTTTTTTTTGGCATAGCACAATGCCCTGAAAATTTACAGATGTGTACTTCACATAATACAAAACCCACTAAAAAAGTTTCAAAAAATAATAAAATTGTTTAGACCCTGAACTAAAGTGAAAACAAAAAGTAAAAAGTGAAAAAATACGTGGGCGAGCACCTTTTGACACCGCCATCTTTGGCGATTTTGAATTCTTATGTGGCTAAGCCAAATGACTTGAAAATTAACAGGCATGTACCTCACGTCATAGAGAACTCACAAAAAAAAATTCATAAAAAAATAATTATTTTTAGGCCCCGAAATAATTTTTGGCGGGGGCCGAACGCCGTCGGGTTCGGACCCCGTACGGGACCCCGAACGCCCGCACGTACGGAGGTCTGCCTGGGAACCTCCGTACGTACGGGCTGGTGACCCTGTATATATATATATTTCTGTCTTCCAATCCCGGTGCTCACGGGAACAACATACAAGCGAACCAAACTATTTTCCTTTCTTCCTTTCTCCCAGTACCGGCGCTCGAGTCTGTATTTTAACAGTTTTGAGTGTGTACCAACTAAGCCAGGCCCATTGTTAACGTCTCTGGACAGTTTACACGTCGTGCAGCCAACTTTCTTTTTTCTTTTTTTTTTCGTATTTCAAATTTTCAACATATGGCACGACTTTGCACATTCATAGCATGCAGTAAGTACGACTTGATTCATTGGATGCCTTCCTTAATTTTTCATTTATATATATTTTTTACTATTTGCTTTTACAGTTCTATCTATTAAATTCATTTGTTTGTTAATGCCGTTTATTCGTTCTTTCTTCAGTTTGTCGTTCGATTTCCCCCCCCCCCCCCCCCCCCCAAAAAAAAAAAGAAAAAGTGATCGTTTGTCTTTTGTTCATCCATTCCCTCTTATTTCTTTCTCGAAGAAGACACTAGACCGGTTTTCCAGTGGGAAAAATAATATAATAAATATCATTAATTTTTAAAAACTATCTAGGCTACCAGCCGGGCCGCCCGGTAAATTGTTTTGTTATTATTTTTAGTTTTTAATTTTCTTTTGGCCCAGCCGGGCAAGTGACCCCGGGCCACTCTGGTAGCCTAGAAAAATATGTGATTGTGTAAAATTTCAAATTAAGAATTTTTATCATCTAGTGAAGAAAAAAAAATCAGAAAAAAGACATTGAAAAAAAAAAGAAAAAAAAAAAAAGGAAACATTAGAGTCATTGCACCGGTTTTCCAATGGGAAAAATAATAAATATCATTAAAAATTTCAAAACATGCGATTGTTTAAATTTTCAGTTTAATATTTTTTATCAGTACTGAAAGAAAAAAAGGAAAAAAAAAGTGTGAGGAATGAGCCCTCAAGAAGGGGCCTTGCCATGATGTACATGTTCTGGGCTAAGGCCCCAGCAAGCCCCGTGCCCGCCCTAAGTGAAGCCGGGCCAGCAAATCAACAATAGCCCTCTGTGCATACATTTCACGAATGTGGGGTCCTTACAGTTGCAGCACGCCAGTTGGTTGGAGTGCACCGAGTTTCAGATCTCAGCAAATGCTGAAATACCCGGGGGCTCTGAGTTAGTTAGGCCCTGGGCTCTTGAACGTGAGGCCGACAATGCACGCTGGGTATAGAGGCCGAAAATGCAAAGGGAAACCGGCCCACTGTCTGAATCTGGCCGCAGGCCTTGACGAGAGAGGCACAACTACATCTCCCGGGCCCCAACTGTAATGGGCCTGGGTTCAGCCACTGGGGCCCTGTCGCAGGCTGAAGGGAGGCCGCCCACACGCAGCACTGGCACATAGGCAAGCAGGGCGAGTGGGCTGGGATCTTGGCCAATGCTGGCATTGCGGGCACGCTGCGCGGATGCATGTGTGCTGCGCTGTGCAAGGCAGTGCTGCGCTAAGGTGAAGCAGGCCAGCGCTAGGCGGTAGGGCGCTGCCTGCATGCAAGGCACTGGCGGCCATAGCCGGGCCGCATGAGGGTGCAGTGAGGGTGAAGAGCGAAGGTGGTCTTCGGAGGTGAAGGGCGCTGTGTGGGTAACAAGGGAGAGTGTGGGGAAGAGGACACGTACCTGGTGATGGTGGAGGTCGGCATTGGTGTTGACATCATCACTCGCTGGTAGTCAAGTTGTCTGGTTGCTTTTCATTGCTGTAGTTGTAGGATAGGCTGTAGA